AGACATTTGGTGTGCAGGAATGCCTTCAGTTATCATGTGTACTTTAATAAAATTATTTAGGCACAAGATAATATGGAAACTTAGCACTCCTTATCTGATAAAGATACTTTCTTTGTTTGAATAAGAATTATAATTATGGGTATGGAGTATGGACATAAATGTATACACATGTAAGACAGTTTTCTTGATATTTCACAGGCAGAATTGCAGATGCAAGATGTTAAAAATGTGGTGGTGCATAATCTTTCGGTATGTTTTTCTTTTCATATCCTATCATAATATATGATGGGCATGGATGCATGGAAATGAAAACTTGCATGTTACTCCAATTTAAGTATTGTCATAGTTATTAATTCATTTAATAAATTTAACATCTCTTCCTGAAAAGAATTAATAATTTGACATGCTTTTTGATGTGCAGAGTCATCTAGTGCTTATTATTGTTTTACTGGAACTGAATGAACCCCTTAACAATTACAACCTCATTTACTGAGTTGCAGGCTTGAAAGCACACAAATATTTATTACCTTGTACATTGTGAAGGAAGTTGAAGCAAAGTTATGTTATCCTTGCAGCAACAATAATAAAACCCGTGCTTATCCACTGGGTTAAATAATTATGTTAGTCTTACTCATACAACAACAATAATAAAACCCAAATTATTATTCTATACAAATACATGAGGACATATGATGGATTTGGGATACGAAATAATTTTGAAGGTTTAGAAGAACTTCAGTGACAATTGAAGGATTTTATAGGATGTGAAATTAGGGTTTGAAGAGGGAAAATGATTTTATTTTGTGATATTTGATGTTTTAATTGGAGAATTGAGTAAAAAGATTTAAATCAATTTGTGAATATTTTGAGTAGAAGTTTATAGGTGAAAGAAAGTTGATAGCAGGGCCAAATTTGCTTATATTTAAAAGTAGGACTCAATTGACTTGAAAGAACTTGGGAACCAAAATTACGTGTTGTCCAAACCAGAGGGACCAAAATTGCACCGCAGTAAACATTGATGTTATTCATCTGGACCCTGGATTAATAAATAGGTAACCTATCCATGAATAAACATTGTGAAATATTTGGATTATTTAATGACTTATGATCAGTATCTAGAGATTTAATAGTAATCAAAATGGTATTATGTACTGATCCATTATAAACTTGAATAAATTAGATGTATTACAATCCTTTGTTATTAATTTGTGCAATCCTATTAGATATCCATCGGCCCTTGAGCAATACATCAAGATCTCATTCAAATTATAAAAAAGCAGATGATATTTGAGAGTGCATATTTGCTTTTGCAGATCATGTTTTGAAATGTAGATGAATTTGATTTCCTAAAGAATACTCAAGTGTTGTAGTGCCAATATTAACATTAAATTGTCGTACAAGCTTACTAGATGATAATCATGAGATATTAAAGAAAAGGGATAGAAAAATAAAAAATTAATAAAGAAGGTATAAAATCCTTGAAAGGAGAAAGGCTTGAAGAAGAATTTGGCCTCACCGGATTAAAAGAATTAGTGGAAGTTTAATCATAAACACAATCTTCAATACCAAATGCTTCTATTTGAAAGCTATTACCACAAAATATCTTAATTTTCTGAATACATCTCGCTTAAAAGGTTTTCTTATTTAAATGTGGCTATTTAGTGTGCTCTAATATTTTCTTCTATTTCTCCATGTTTCACCTTAAATAGATGAAACACATTATGAAGGACTTCCTTTAAAGTTTTAGCGGTTTATGATCCCATGCATGTTGCCAATTGTTGTTTGTTTTTCTTTTCCTTTTCAATGTTGCAGCCAGGAATGGTTACAACGGATCTTCTCATGTCTGGTGTTAATACAAAGCAGGTAGATATTTAACCAAGTTATATTATTATTCTTACCTCGTGTTTAGGACTGACTGACTTATTTGCTATTTTCAGGCAAAGTTTTTCATCAATGTCTTGGCTGAACCAGCCGAAGTGGTAAGAATTTTATAGCAGGGATGGTGATAGACAAGCTAGCACCGTGCCCTGTGGTGTACCATTGTTGATCATCATCAGAGATTATTTGCTCATTCATGTTGCATAAATTTCTTGCTTTTTATGACTAAATTCATGCTAATAAACTCTAGTGAAAGAGCCATAATAATTTATTATATATTACAAATAAAATCCTCGAGCATGCCCCTCAAAGGGTTTGAAGCCTGGACAAATCATAAGCCCATCTACCTTGTGCTATAGTTCAACCTTCTTTTAATTAGAAAATGTGTAGGCAAGGGTCAAACTCTAGACCACTTGGTCATATAGACTCTGATATAGGACTTGTTTGAATAAGTTTATCCAGGCACTTCTAAGAGAGGAAAATAGAAAGAAAAATTGAAATGAGTTTTTTTATAAGTTAAAACTAGCTTATGCATAAGTTAAAAATAAGATTTTAGAGAAGTTAATAGGAGAAAACTTCTGTAAATTAGCTAATGTAGAAACTAATTTTAACTTATGGAAAAACTCATTTCATTTTTCCATACTATTTTTCTCCTGTATAAATGTTTCTCAAAAAGTTTACCCAAACATGACCTTAGTTTAAGGAAAATGTTTTCCTTCTAGTGATGATTGTATTCAGAATCCTGAGTTATAGATATATAGTAAGCTGTGCAGGAAATTAATAGCTAAAAAGGAAGGAGAAATATTCTCCCCTTGACACAGATATAGACTGCTTAAACTTCAGTCAGCGATCAATAAATTGCCTAAACTGATGGGATATGATTTACATGATAGTAAACTAATTAAATGGAATATCTCCACAAAAAAATCTAATCAAATGGAATTGATTAATAATCATAACTAACTGCTATTTTTCCCTATACTGCTGTAACAAAGGTTTTAAAGACAGTCCACGACTGCGATTTTTGTTGTAACCTCAAGGTTTTTTTTAACTCAAGGCGATTGCAATTGTGACTGCGTTTGCCTGCAATTCCCCTCAATATTAAGGACCACGATGACCAATTTAAAACTTTAGCTGGAACCCGTTTCCATAACTAAAATTCAGCACTGGAAAGCATTCATTTACGTAGAAATTCATATATTACAGAGATATATAAGTGAAATGTAATTCTTTAGCCATATATTTTCCTATATGATCATATATACATGGTATGTGTGATTTCTACTTTATTTGTTGGATGACAAATTCAGCTCATTTATCCTATGCTGTGGCGATTGGCAGGTTGCAGAATACTTGGTTCCAAATATAAGATCCATCCCTGCTAATGGATCAATGAAGCCAACATACATTAAATTTCTCACTGGTTTGAAAGCCTATTCGCAGATATTTTCAGTTAAGATAAAGCATAATCCACAGTAGTCAACTTGCATTGCATGCATTATCACTTCATTTCACCCATGCACGTGTTCTCTTTTGCTTACAGGCTATATAGCATGGGCTCAATTTCCATAACATAATCTAGCATTTCAATCTTGTTTAGAACTTAATGCTTCCTTTTTGGTAACCTTACAGAGATTGGCATTCGGCGCAAGAAGGAACCGATACATTCTTGAAGATTAAACTGCATAAAAAATTGTGCCATGTGCAACTTTTATTTATTTTATAAATATCTATTCACCCCCCTCCATTTTTGTCGAAACTTTTTATGACATTTTTTTCCTTTCTATAATTCCTCTCACGGTGAAACTAAAATCTACAAATTTAAGGGTAGATATAGCTAATAAAGTAACTAGGTTAGAGCTGCCTTTAAGTAATGAATCATCAAAGCATTTAATATCTTAAAACATAGAGAGCATTTAATACTTATTACATTGTGATTGTGACAAATAAAATTATAGAGATGACTATGTCCTTCGAGTACAAATTAAAAGGTTTATTAAAAAAAAGTGATATTACTGCACATCATAATTTTCATGTAATTAATTTTAATAAGATTTTTTTGGTTCATTTATTTCTTAATCATTACTTTAAGAAACTCATTTGTAAGATCCGTAAAATTATTAGGAGAATGATTAACCAACATACAGAATCATTGTGAGATTTGCGAAGACGAAATTCTGTTGACTTTACCAGCTTTTGCACACATGTATGTCAGCATTTTAATCCCAGTGAAAATAAAGAGTAACTGTTTTTTTATACTACTAAATCTTGGTCTTAATTATAAGCAACAAGACTGAATTTTTCTTTATTTTTAATTATGAGCAACAATTATTAGTTTTTAAGGTTACTTAAGATAGTTTTTTTTTATATCTTTAATTAATTGCTAATGTTATTTTCTATGAATTTACCTATAACTTGCATTAAATATAACAATCACTTAAAAGAAATAGTATTTTTGGAACAAAATTGAAATTTATGACCCTTTTAATTATTTTTCTTGGTGTTAATGATTTGTCTGTTACTTATAATTGGGATTGGAGATAGTAATTTAATTATATAAATTAAAATAATTTTATTAAAATTAGAGGTAATAAGATTTGTTAAAATTTAAAATAGATAAGTATTTAATTTGAATATAATATCATATTTATTATTAAAATAACCACTAGGGTTGGTTTAGTGGCTGGGGAAAGATGTTAGGCGTAGGGGAAGCTATATGGAAATCTAAGTTTGATTTTCATTATGGTTGTCTTAGTAATATTTTTTTATAGGTAAGAAATTATTATTAAAATAATTATTATAATTAACCCCTATATTAAACACCAGCAATTTCAACCGAATTATATAATATTTGCCTAAGACATCTGATGAGCTGTTGGGATGAAGGTTGTGGACATATATTTCATGTAACCATCTCTTCATTTGTGAAAGAGGAACAATGTTTTGGTAGCCAGTCTATGTAAGCACTGTCTTCTCTATAATTGTGTTGAATATTAAGGTGTCCATCATATGAGGGTATCTGACAAATCTTAGAGGTGAGGGTTGCTTATAGATAGTGAACTGGATTCACATATGACGTTTTGGAAACCTTTGTTCAAAGTGGTGTGAAGACCATGGTATAAACCAAAGAGTTTTGCATTGAGCTTTGTAATAATGCCACATGATCCTGAAAAACCTGTAAGCCATTGACCTAGGTGGTTTCGAATGAGGCCACCAAACCTCAATCTACTAGAGTTTTGTGTTGTAGTTTAAATTATTTATCACAAGTTTTAAATTTAATTTATGTTTCAAAATGTTTATTTATATAAAATTTTAATATAATTTATTTATTTAAATATATTATTTATTTTTCTATATAATTTATTATAATCTTTTGTTATATATAATAAACATTTAGTTTGTGAAATGTGAAATACTAGTTTAATTTAAATTTTAAAATATAATAGTTATAATTTTAGATGATTTAATATCTAATTTAAACTTAATTTAAAATTTAAAATTTAAAAATATTTAATTATAAGTTATGGAAATCATTGTTGAATAAAAAAATGTTTAATTACTCATTTGGTCTATACTTATAGAATCTTTTATTTTATTTTTTATTTTATACACTTATAAATTATTTGATTTAGTATCTATATGAATATTTTTAGTTTGTTCATGAAGGTTAAAAGAAACATATAGAAGGAAAGGGGGAGGTTGAATGTGTGTGAATGTATTTTATAAAGCCTTTTGTAAGTTAAAAAAAATATGTTTATAAAAGAACTTTGTCCAAAAAGCGTGAGGGAGACTGATAAGGTAAAGATACAAGATATTTTTATATTGGTTCACTCAACTTAAGTTACATCTAGTTACTTTTAAACTCGAAATGTTTCACTAATTTGAAAACTTTTGCAACTAAATAGTCTTTACTGTCAATCCTAGTAGGGTTGATATTGTGGTTTTTAAGGTCCTGAGCAAACCAAAAAAACATGATGTCCTCAGTTATTTAAATATTGTCTTTGTATTTTTTTATATTGTAAAATTATTAGGATATCAAAAGTATTCTTGGGATCATTCACAATAAACATATCTCATTTAGTACCATTTTTTAGTAATTTATCTTGTAAATCACTTCTAAGGTTATAACATGTTATTAGATCATAAATATCTAATGAACTGTACTAACTAGGTTGTCCTACATGAATATATTAATTTTTTATTAAAATATTTGGTTTTATCATGATAATCATCTTCATTTTCACTATTTTCAACTAAAATTTTAGACTCTTCATTATTCTTATATAGTTTTTCATTCTCAAAATTTTTAGCTTTAGAGTCTAGATTATCTATATTTGCATTATTTTGAAGAGAGAATTATAGGATGTAACAAAAAAAATTATCAAGAGCACTTTTTTGAGAATCAATATCAATTTCAATTTGTTTATTTCTTTTCTATTTTAGATGATAAGAAGGTTGTTTTTTATGTAACATGTTCCAACCAAACAACTAGACAAGTATATACAAAAAAAAAACTAAATTATAACCTATGATTCAACTAATAGGTCTTTAATGAGTAAATGACAATGAGATGAAACGAACTTATTTTTAAGCCTTCACCTTGAATTCTCAATTTGTTGTAATGAAAAAGAAAAATTAACAATCGTGACATGTCACCAAAAAATTTCCAGTGGCTAACAAATATAGACAACTAAAAAAATGAGGTTTTCAATTTGATTTTAAGATTCTAACGGTGTTAAACCCTCAAAATGTTGCGTAATAACCTATATTTATTGTTTTGCCTAAAATTAATGTGAAATCTTTGGCAATATTTCACTTCTTTTATTAAGTGTGCAACAAATAGGAAAAATTCAAAAAAGAATGACATTAGGGCAATCAAGGGATAAAATGGAGTAAATATGAAGGTTGACAATATACATGATTGTGCTTGACTTGTGCATGACTGTGCTTCTAGAGAAGTATGCCACTATGTACAACTAGAATATTAAGCATAATTGTGCTTACCAATATGCACGATCATGCTTCCTTCAAAACACCAAGCACATCCATGCTCCCTAAAACAGGCCCAAGCCCAAAATATTAAGAACAATCGTGCTTACCAATATGTACGATTGTGCTTCCTTTAGAACACCAAGCATGCCCATGCTCCCTAAAATGGGCTAAAACCCAAGTTATTAAGCATGATTGTGCTATCTGGTATGCACAGTCGTGCTTTCTGATATGCACGATCGTGCTTCAAGAGTTCATCTTAATTTTTGCCTATAAATAAGGATGTCCAAAACACATTGTAATCATCCAATTTTTATTCAATTTTTAGTTTTAGTTTTGCATTTTCTCTCTTCCTCTTTTTCTAGAGTTGTGATGTAATTGTTCCTTATGAACCTCCAATGATGAATTCATGAATTGTTTCTTTTTAATTTGTGGTATTATTTTAATGTTTCTAATTCTTATCTTAGTTCATTAAAAGTTACATGATCAAACTCTTTCAATTAATAAAACTTTAAAATAATTGAATTATTTGAAAATTGACATGATGAAGTTGTTTTCTTAATCTTCAATTGAATTAATTTATTAATTCGCTTCTATGTGATTATGCTTTATTTTTACAACATCCATAGATTACTAGAGCACTTATAAGACAAATTTTTTAAACATTTGAATATGACTTTTAAGGATGTGAAATGTTCAAACAAGCTTTGGACTTGTGAACACTTATAGGACACAAATGCTTGTAATAATGCATTGGACGTTGGAAGAAAATGCTAACTATCCTAATTAGTATGTGTTACACTTAGGAGTGAAAAATGAATTTATTTATCCATCATTGATCCAATCCATCCACAAGTAAATTCATTCAATCCATCCATTATAATAAAAATAAATAATGGATCGGATTCAATCTATCTATTTAATTTTATGAATGGTTAATTATCCATCCACTACTTTTCAAAATCCATTAGATTATATTATGAGATGTTTATTGGATTGAGATTTTAAAAAATTATTTTGACATAAAAAAGTCTTATGAATTTTAAAAGACTATATATAAAAATGTAATGACTTATAAAGAAAAGAGAGATAAAATATTTCAAAAATAAAAATTATTTAATTTTAAAATATTACTTTTATGGATGGATCGAATATCCATCCATGAAAAAGTTAATGGATGTATTCGATAAATTGATGGAAGTGAGTAAAAGTGGTTGATATTCTTCTTCACTCTCCACCTTCAATCCCTTTCTTCTCTTGAGGTTGACACGCCAATGAAGAGAGAAAAACCTTGAAGAAGCTTCAATGGTGGAGAAGCAACATAGAGGTTCGATAGCTTCTTCAAGAAGCTAGAAGATTGAGGCACCAAGGCACCAAGGTTGGAAACCTTTGTGAAGGAACCTAGGGGAGAAAGTTCTCCACGAAATTCTAAGGCTTTGGAAGAGAGAATTTGAGAGAAATTCTGATTATTATTCATCCAAAGTGAGGGAAAAGGTTGGAGTTACAAATATATAGAAGGAGGTAGCTTAGGGAGCAAGCTAATTTTAACTATGGTTCAAGTGAATCATGGTTGAGTTGCTTGACCGTCCAAGCTAGTTAAGAGGCTTGTGGAGCAAACTTCTTACTTAGCTTGCTTGGAAAGCAAGCTAAGGAGAAGCTTGTAGCACAAGCTTCTCAAGGCTTCAAGGAATGAGAAGTAATTCGGCCAAGGAAGAAGAACTAGGCAAGCTAGGCGGCCTTGGGTCCAGTTTGCTCACTTTAATTATTTCAAAAATGTTTTGTTTGGTTTATGTAGTAGGTCCATCCAAAAATGATGAGACCTAGCTAAATTGAATCCATGAAAAATTAGGAGCAAAATGAGTCCAATATGTAAAATTTTGCCTAGGCTCAATTACTAGTCACACCCCCAAGCATTACTAAATGCCACCCCACTTCTACTACTGAAAAAATAGAAAAAGTGTGTTCTTCAAGATTAGGTTAAATGGAGTCAAAGTCTCCAAGTAACCTACCCTAGAAACAATATACAATGATCTATAAAAATGAAATAAAGTTCCTCACAAATACAAAGGCAAAATAAACCTATACAAAGCAACTACTATATTTACAAACATAAGAAAAAGGTCTTCAAAATCATCTCATTCCTCTTGGTTCCTTTAATGTATCACCTCTTGGATTCCTTGGCCTTGGCATATTTCCATCATCCCCTCCCTCTTAAAAAGCATTTGACCTCAAATCTCGAGAGTCTTCATGATGGTCATCCACACCTACAAATATATAATAATATTCATTAGAGGTGACATTGTCAATTAATGAAGGTGAAAGGTGTATCCTAAGAGGAATCCTTTCATAGAACCTAATAAAGAAGTTAATGATACTAGACCTTCTAGAATAATGAATAGGATCCTCTCCTAAACAAAATCTAGATATATTACTAAGTCCTAAAAATGTGCTAAAACTATGACTATAACACACTAAAGACTTAATCCTAAAAACTAGAACATCTTGCCTAAAGTACCATATGTGGTAACCTAGGCATTCCCTAGAAAATAAGGAAAATACAACTAGAAAATTTCATAAGCAATTTTCGAATATATTATTTGTTGGATAGTTATTAGAATAAGGTTTCAAAAGGAGCCTTGAAGACTCAAATGTTGTATCCATCAAGTAATATATTCCAAGAATTGGGTGCTTTATTAAAACAACTAAAGTAGGAAAAGTACTACACAAAGGAAAGTTATCTACCTTAGGCACCACCAAGGAAATAGTACAAGAAGTAGGACTAAGTGAAGTCCACTTCTTCTTCACTAAATCTTGAAGTTGAGATTCCTTTTCTTTAAAGATAATGGATTTGTGAATCTCCTCTTCAAGATTAGTGGCAACATGAGGGTAAAAGTTAAGGTTTTTATGAATAAAGAGAATATTTTTGTAGGATTTCTAGTGATAAAGCAATTCTCTTTAGTCATAACTCCCTTAGAGGATACAACTTCCTCTTTACTCTTCCCAAAACAAATTGATTTCTTTTTTGCTTTCTTTTCTTTTCTTTTAATTTTCATTTGTGCTTGATCCTCAACCACTTGTTGAGGTGAGAGAGGATAAAGCACAATTTTTTTTCCTTATGAGTGAAGGTAATTTCATTAGTAAGACCATTTGATGTGAATCCAACCAGGTAAAATTGAAGACTAACAAGCCCAAAGTCATATGATAAAGATGAAGGATTAATGAGTTGAAATTTAAGTAGTTTGGGACTCAATAATTAAATAAGTCCATTATCTTATTTTTTTAATGTAATTTTTATTTTATCAATTTTATTAAATAAGTCAGATGGCTTTCCAATTACCTAGGCCAACAATTAGTGTTTTAGGCTTCTTAGTGGAATTTAATTAGTTAGTGGGCTAGTGAGGAGTTAATTCTAGTGGATATTAACTGTTAATGGGAATTTATGTCATCTTGCACATCTGAGCTTATAAATAGGAACCTTTTGTAAAAATTTGAGAGAGAATGAATTATTCAGAATTTGGATATTTTTCCAATTGAGAGGATTTTCTCTCTCTAGGTTTTTAGGAACTACTTTTGATTTTTATCCTTGAATTTCCTAATTCAAAGTGGCGAATCTTCATCAAATTATCAATATTTAGGGATTGTGGTGTTGTTCTTCCATTTCTTACCTCAATCCATATTTTTTTTTCTTAATTTCTTAATTATGAGCATTCCAGCCTAGATAGATCCGTAAAATGAGTCCATCCCTCTAGGATCATATTACCAAGGCACCAAGGTTAGAAACCTTTTGAAGGTACCTAGGGGAGAAAGTTCTCCACGAAATTCTAAGGCTTTGGGAGAGAGAATTTGAGAGAAATTATGATTATTATTCATCCAAAGTGAGGGAAAAGGTTGGAGTTATAAATATATAGAAGGAGGTAGCTTAGAGAGCAAGCTAACTTTAACCATGGTTCAAGTGAACCATGGTTGAGTTGCTTGACCGTCCAAGTTAGTTAAGAGGCTTGTGGAGCAAGCTTCTTACTTAGCTTGCTTGGAAAGCAAGCTAAGGAGAAGCTTGTAGCACAAGCTTCTCAAGGCTTCAAGGAATGAGAAGCAATTCGGCCAAGGAAGAAGAACTTGGCAAGTTAGGCGGCCTTGGGTCCATTTTGCTCACTTTAATTATTTCAAAAATATTTGGTTTGGTTTATTTAGGTCCATCCAAAAATGATGAGACCTAGCTAAATCAAATCCATGAAAAATTAGGAGTAAAATGAGTCAAATATGTAAAATTTTGCCTAAGTTCAATTACTAGTCACACCCTCAAGCATTACTAAATGTCACCCCACTTCTACTACTGAAAAAATAGAAAAAGAGTGTTCTTCAAGATTAGGTTAAATGGAGTCAAAGTCTCCAAGTAACCTACCCTAGAAACAATATACAATGATCTATAAAAATGAAATAAAGTGCCTCACAAATACAAAGGAAAAATAAACCTATACAAAGCAACTACTATATTTACAAACATAAGAAAAAGGTCTTCAAAATCATCCCATTCCTCTTGGTTCCTTTAATGTATCACCTCTTGGATTCCTTGGCCTTGACATATTTCCACCATCCCCTCCCTCTTGAAAAGGATTTCACCTCAAATCTTGAGAGTCTTCGTGATGGTTATCCACACCTACAAATATATAATAATATTCATTAGAGGTGACATTATCAATTAATGAAGGTGAAAGGTGTATCCTAAGAGGAATCCTTTCATAGAACCTAATAAAAAAGTTAATGATACTAGACCTTCTAGAATAATGAATAGGATCCTCTCCTAAACAAAATCTAGATATATTACTAAATCCTAAAAATATGCTAAAACTATGACTATAACACACTAAAGACTTAATCCTAAAAAGTAGAACATCTTGCCTAAAGTAACCTAGGCATTCCCTAGAAAATAAGGAAAATACAACTAGAAAATTTCCTAAGCAATTTTGGAGTATATTATTTGTTGGATAGTTATTAGAATAAGGTTTCAAAAGGAGCCTTGAAGACTCAAATGTTGTATCCATCAAATAATATATTCCAAGAATTAGGTGCTTTATTAAAACAACTAAAGTAGGAAAATTCCTACACAAAGGAAAATTATCTACCTTAGGCACCACCAAGGAAGTAGTACAACAAGTAGGACTAAGTGAAGTCCACTTCTTCTTCACTAAATCTTGAAGTTGAGATTCCTTTTCTTTAAAGATAATAGATTTGTGAATCTCTTCTTCAAGATTAGTGGGAGCATGAGGGTAAAAGTTAAGGTTTTTATGAATAAAGAGAATATTTTTCGTAAGATTTCTAGTGATAAAACAATCCTCTTTAGTCATAACTCCCTTAGAAGATACAACTTCCTCTTTACTCTTTCCTAAACAAATTGATTTCTTTTTTTTTCTTTCTCTTCTTTTCTTTTGATTTTCATTTGTGCTTGATCCTCAACCACTTGTTGAGGTGAGAAAGGATAAAGCACAATTTTTTTTTTCCTTATGAGTGAAGGTGATTTCATTAGTAAGACCATTGTGTATAGTTTTCTTTTCAAATTTTCATGGTCTTCCTAACAAAATATGACAAGCTTCTATTGATACTATACACATAAGACTTGGTCTTCATACTTCCCAATGAAAAACTTGACCTTCACTTGTTGGTTAACTACTATGTCTCCATCCTTATTGAGCCATTGTAAATGATAAGGTTGAGGATGTGGCATAGAAATTAAACACAACTTTTTAACCAACCTAGTGATACAACAGTTGCACTATGAACCACTATCTACAATGAGAGAACATGTTTTATTTAAAATATTACATATAGTATAAAAAATGTTCTCTCTTTGAGATAGAGTACCACTAGGTTGACTATTAAGGATTCTCCTAAGTATTAGGAGTTTTCCTTCATAAGGATAAACTAACTCCACATTGGACACTTGAGGCCTTGTTTCATCCTCACTCTCACTTGAAGAGGAGGTAGTAGTCTCTTCTTGACTACTATAAGTGTCATGCCCCCTTAAAATCATGACTTTCTTTGTAGGGCATTGCGAAGCAATGTGGCCTCTCCCTAGACACTTGAAACATTTTATATCACTAGTCTTTGTGCTAGTGTGTGGAGTGATGGCACCTTTACCCTTATCTCTACTCTTTTCCTTATTATCTTTAGCTAATTCCTTGGAGGGTTCTAAAATATTTTTCTTTTCAAAATATTTTTCCTCCTCCATGTAGTCTTTCTTATGAGATCTAGAGTGGGAGCTTTCTCTTTGAGAAAAAGATTTTCTCAACATTTGTTGTTCTACCCTTACACAAAGTTGGACTAAGTCATCTAAGTCCCTATAGGGTAGTAGCTCCACTTGGTCTCTAATCTCTAAGTCAAGACCACTTAGGAATCTAGCTACAGTGGCGGCTTCTTCTTCTCTAATACATGCCCTCATCATGTATAGCTCCATTTGTTGCCTATATTGTTCAACAGTCATATCTTTTTATTGGAGCCTTTGGAGCTTGTTCATAATCTCCCTACCATAATAAGAGGGAATGTGTCTCCTACTTAGTGCACTCCTAAGATCATTCTAATATTGGATAGGAGGATCATTCCATGCCCTTAAAAGCTAAGGGTTGCAAGTGGTACTTTTCTCTCTTCACTCACCTTGTGGCAAGCAAAGAGTTGCTCTACCTTCATCTCTCAATCAAGGTAGGCTTCCACATCATCCTTCCCAAAAAATTGAGGGAGATCCACCTTGGATTCCCTAGGTTTAATAGTTCTTCTAGGGGGAGGTTGATAATGGTCACCTACATTAAGGCTTTCATTAGGAGAAGAATATTGTGAATGAGAGCTCCTACTTCTCCTCTTTTGTTTTCTCATTTCTTCTTTAAGCTTTTCTTCTTCTTGTCTAAGAATACTCAATTCCTCTTCCAAGAAAGCAAGTTGACCCTCTCTTTCAATTTTCTCCTTCTCATTTTGAATGACTTCTTGCTTCCTCCATAGTTTAAGTGATTTTAGCTCTTTAGTTAAGTAAGAAAGGCTTTTTGGAGAGCTATCACTTTCACTATAGTTAGAGTTTTGAGACATTTTTAATCAAAAAACTCTTTTCACACAAAAATAGTTTTTAAAGAAAATAATATTTTTGAAGTGCTAGACTTGGCACTTAGAGGTCTAAGAGTACAAATTGAACTATGGAGGGAGGTGAGCTACAAAGAGCCACTTAATAACCAAGTCTCTTCAAGTAAAAATCTCTAAACCCCCTTGTACTTTGCCTTGCACAAAAGTTTTCACAAAATACTTTTCAAAAGAAAAATAACAAACAAGTGCCTAATATGTACAATTAAGTAATGCAGTCAAGACTTGAAAACATAAATTGCATGAAAACATAAATTGCTTGAAAACTTAAATTGCTTAAAACATAAATTGTATGAAAACTTAAAGATAAGAAAACATAAACTAGGCGTATAAAGCTATAAACCTAGGTGAGAGCTTGGAAAGTACCAAAGACTTCCAAGGACCTCTCTCACAAGCACTAAACGGATTACCCTAATATGAAAAAACTAAGGAGAGATGGAAATGCACTAAAGGCACTCCAAGACACTCCTAAAAGACCTTGTACAAGAAATGAAAATTTACAAGAAATGAAATGTAAATTCATACCAAATGAAATGCAAATTCATACTCAAATGAAATGTAAATTCACAATAAATGAAAACGGCTGCTCCTTTCTTGTCAATTGGGTTAGAGGCACCACTATCTTGGAGAATCTCTCAATGAACCTTCGATAGTAACCCGATATACCCACAAAACTTCTAATATCCGTGATAGTTCTCGGACGCTCCCACTACAACACCGACTCCACCTTAGCCCGATCAACAACAATCCCCTTAGCTGAAATCACATGTCCCAAGAACTTCACCTCTTCCAACCAGAACTCACATTTTGAAAGCTTGGCATACAACTGCTTCGCCTTCAAAATCTCCAGCACCAACCGCAAGTGCTCTCCATGCTCCTCCGGGGTCCTTGAATAAATCAGGATGTCGTCAATAAACACCACCACAAATTTATCCAAGAAGGGCCAGAAGATCCTGTTCATGTAATCTATGAACACTGCTGGGGCATTGGTCACACCAAACGGCATCACAACATACTCGTAGTGACCATACTTAGTCCTGAAAGCGGTCTTAGGTATGTCACCCTCCTTCACCCTGATCTGGTGATATCCTGACCTCAAGTCAATCTTCGAGAAAATCGATGCTCCCTCAATTGATCCATTAAGTCATCTATCTGGGGAAGTGGATATTTGTTCTTAATGGTCAACTTGTTCAACTGCCGGTAATCAACACACAGTCGACTACCTCCATCTTTCTTCTTCACCAACAACACGGGAGCACCCCACGGCGATACACTCGGCCGCACCAACTGCATTTCCAGTAGGTCTTCCAACTGACCTTTCAGTTCAACCAGCTCAACTGGAGCCATCCTATAGGGAGCCACTGACACTGGCCCCGTACCTGGAACCAAGTCAATGCCGAACTCTATCTCCCTAGTAGGAGGCAACCCAGGCACCTCATCCGGGAACACCTTAGTAAAATCCCTCACCACATCTATATCAACAATGACCCTCTCGGTCTCCACACTCATGGCAGCAAGTAGAAGACAACACTCTGCTCCATCCCACAACAACGATTCAGCTTGGCTAGCTGAAATCAACAACTCCTCCTCCACCTGAGAAAAGATCAACCTCCTATTGGTACAATCTATAAGGATGCGATTGGCAGACAATCAATCCATCCCTAAGATTATGTCAATGTCCACCAAAGGCAAAAAGATCAAGTTCACCTTGTACCTCTTCTCATTCACAACAATCGAACAAACACCACACAGCTCAAAAACAACTACCAAAGCAGAAGCAGGCGTCGACACTAGCAGTCTCAACCCCAAATCACACACTGACACCAAGCATAACAGGACATGCATAAGAGATAAATGAATGAGAAGCTCCAAAGTCAAAAAGAATCATCACATCCTTAACAACGGCTTTACCCTTCCCCTTCACAAGATCTGAGGAAGTAGAAGCTTCAGCCCCAGTCAAAGCGAATACTCTCCCAGTAATAGTAGGTTTATCACCCCTCTGCGCATCGCCTCTCTGAGCACCCCTAACCGGTCTGTTTCTGGTAGGACAGTTGGTCGACTCGTGACCTATCTAATGGAACTTGAAACACCGGCTCTCCGTGTGTGGACAATCCGTGACAAAATGGGGCCCAGCACACCTGTAGCATCTGAGAGTGGCACCTCCACCCTGTCTCCTTCCTCTGGTAGCATCAGCAGGTTACCTTATGACAGAACCCCCTTGCTGTGGTTGGGGCCTATCATATGGCTTCCTCTAACTCCCTCCTTTCTTGGACCCAGCTGGTCCCTCAGCTGTCTTCATCACACGGTTGCCACCATTTAACCGCTCAACCACCTTAGCCTTCTCCACCAAGGCCGGAAACTTAGTTATGGCCATAGGCACCACCACCCTCTTCAGCTCTTGCTTTAGACCCTCAGCAAACATCCTGCATTTCCAGGCCTCAAAAATAGCTTGCGAGTAGAAACGAGCCAGGTGCTCGAATCTCATCGCATACTCGGATACTGACATCCCTCCCTGGTGCAACCGCATGAACTTGGCCTCCTTAGCGTGCCTCACGCTCTCTGGGAAGTACTTCTCAAGAAATACCCTCCTGAAGCACTCCTAGTCAACACCAACACCTCTAGCCATTTAACCGCTCAACCACCTTAGCCTTCTCCACCAAGGCCGGAAACTTAGTTATGGCCATAGGCACCACCACCCTCTTCAGCTCTTGCTTTAGACCCTCAGCAAACATCCTGCATTTCCAGGCCTCAAAAATAGCTTGCGAGTAGAAACGAGCCAGGTGCTCGAATCTCATCGCATACTCGGATACTGACATCCCTCCCTGGTGCAACCGCATGAACTTGGCCTCCTTAGCGTGCCTCACGCTCTCTGGGAAGTACTTCTCAAGAAATACCCTCCTGAAGCACTCCTAGTCAACACCAACACCTCTAGCAGTCAACATATATGCATATGATGCATGTCATACATTCATAATTTCATTGACTTAACATTTAACTTATTACATAATTTCATCATGTCATCATTTTTCATATTCTTATAATCATAGCTTGTCTCAATAGTCCATTCTTAGGTCTCATGTCATTTGTCCATATTTCACATGGTCATGTCATAAATACTCCTCATAAGGTCCGCACAGGAATTCACATAGAACATTCTTTTTCATATTAAAACTTATTTATTTTTAGCATTAATTCCATATTCATTTATTACTTTCAAGGAACAAAGTAACAAGGAACAAAGTAACAAGGAACAACGTAATAAGGAACAAAGTAATAAGGAAAAAAGTAGAGCAAACAGAAAATAAAACATAACAACGGCAAGGGATTGGGGGCCAATCCGACAATCAAACTATCCAACAATTATCCCCACACCTCCGAGCGAGGTTTCTCACTCCCCCCTTACCTGGATAAGCGAAGTTGAAACTTGGGCAGGACCTCCTCTTCTGGATTCCCTCTTCCTTTCTCTTTCTCCTTCTCTCTCTCTCTCTCTCTCTCTCTCTCTCTCTCTTTCTCTTTCTCTCTCTAAGATTTTACCTTCTCACTCAGTATAAAATTTTCACCCCCCCTATGCCCCTATTTATAGGCATCCTGGCGCACCCGGAACGACCCGTACTGATTTCGGAACGGCCCGTTCCGGAACCTTCAAATATACGTAAAATTTTCAAAATCGGAACGACCCGTTTCCAAAAAGCAGAACGGCCCGTTCTGAAATCAGAACGGTCCATTCTGGGATCCATGTTAACACACATTGACTATAGTTGGAACGGCCCGTTTCCAACTTAATTTTCTAGGCATTTTTCTTACATTGGAACGACCCGTTTCACTTTGAGAACGGCCCGTTCCGGAAAAACCCAAATAGGCCATTTTACACATTTGGAACGGCCCGTTCTGCTGCTTCGAAAATAATATATTTTCTTTGTTTGGAACGGTCCGTTCCACTTTTGGAATAGCCCGTTCCGGCATAATAAAATAGAATTTTATAAAAATTTGCACAAATAATTTAAATTGTTACAACCCTTTAAAATATTCTATAAAAACCTCTTTAATTAACTAAAATAACTATAAAAATAATCTTCATAATTATATAAAAATATATAATAATTGATATTGTAAGAGTAGAAATTCCGGGGTGTTACATCACTCCTCTCTTAGAAGTAACCTTGATGTTGGTTACCCCTAGGTGTTTAATCTCCCAAAGCCTTCCTCCAATGGAGAAGCAAGCTTCGTAGGCCACCACAAAACCTTCCAATTTTGGCTTCCTTTGTAGCTTGGCCTTCCACACCTTCAAGAAGCACTCAACACACCTTAAGTTGCTGGAATATATGGTAAAAACTGAAAAGGAACAATTAGGAGAAGCTATACCAAATGGTGGAAATAGATGAGACAAACTAGAAGGAATTCCAAACAATGACAAGCAAAAATTAAGGCACCAAAAAAAGGCTAGCACACAAAGGGAAACCTATCAATGGCACTAGAGTAGATTACAAAATAAAATAAGACTCAAAATTAAATGGTATGTGGTTGGACAGTTTTCAAAACAAGCAACACAAACCAAAAACCGAGAGCAAATTACATAAGAATTTTCTACTCCTTGGCTTTTTCTTGTACTCTTTCTTTGTGATTCTTTTTTGTAACTTCTTTTGCACTTTTTTTATTTTTCTTTTTTACAGGAGTTTAATGCCTTTTAAACATGATAAGTCTCGGATTTAATGAGGTAAAACTGCTGCCAAAATTTTTCCACAAAACAAGAGGTATACTAGTGAAATTGTTTTCCTAGTGCTTCACAATTTTGTTCAACTTTTTAGCTCACTTTCATGCACTCTTTTCTTTTGTTTTTCTAAAGCTTTTTGAACACTAATACCTCTATTTTTCCTCTTTTTTAATGGAGTAAAAATATGAAAAAGTTTCAGCCACAACAAAACAATTCAAGGAAACCTAATAGGAAGACTGTTTAACAATTTTCTTGACAAACTTTTTTTAGTGTGACATAAAAGAAACCTAACTCTATGAAATTTGATAGAACTAATAGCAAATTAAGAACTCAAAGATGTAAATCAAAAGCACATATGGTCAGGTTCAAGATTATAAAAAAAAAATCGCACCAAATGTAGACACAAAACAACAGAAAAATTAAGGTTCAACAAGCTAATCTAGGATTCAATGACATGAAAATGACTACACATGACTCTAGACAAAACATATGATTCAAAAATAAAAACACATGCTATTCATTACTATAATCCAATCATGGATTCAGATTCAAGGAATAGGCAAGACTCAAGCAAAAAAAAAAACACAAGCACAAGAACCTAAAGCACAAAACCGGATTGATTCAAGAGTAATGGAACAAGCAATAACATGAATCAATCAATTCTCATGTGACATTTTGGATCCATCAAAATGTGAAGAAAACCTAGATCCATTCAGCAAACATACATTTGACATGTAAAGGAATATGAGGCAACACAAATTTAGTTTTTAGAGACAATTAACATGGATTGGTGAGCCTTTTAATAAAATTGCTCGTTTGACGAGGTCTCAGTTTGAGAATAAGTCATTCTAGCAATCCATATTTTTAAACAAATAAAAGAGTCCAACCATCCTTCGCGAATGCCGAAAGCCCGTTTCGGGCCGGTGGCGACAAGTGGCTACACCAAATTTTAGAAAACCAAAATTCAGTCACTAATTTAGTGACAAATTTAGAGACGGGTTTAATAAGGAAAAGTTTTGGTGACAAAAAATTTCCGTCTCTAAACTAGTCACTAGCTTTTCACCAAAAATTTTTCTAAAATTTTTTTTGAAGCCCTTCAAGTTCCAAGGTCAGCCACCAATCTTGCAGCCCTCACATGTGTTAACTTTAACCATGGTTCAAGTGAACCATGGTTGAGTTGCTTGACCGTCCAAGCTAGTTAAGAGGCTTGTGGAGCAAGCTTCGTACTTAGCTTGCTTGGGAAGCAAGCTAAGGAGAAACTTGTAGAACAAGCTTCTCAAGGCTTCAATGAATGAGAAGCAATTCGGCCAAGTAAGAAGAACTAGGCAAGCTAGGCGGCCTTGGGTCCATTTTGCTCACTTTAATTATTTCAAAAATATTTGGTTTGGTTTATTTAGGTCCATCCAAAAATGATGAGACCTAGCTAAATCAAATCCATGAAAAATTAGGATTCCTTGGCCTTGACATATTTCCATCATAAATTTTTTACTTTAAATAGATAAGATGGATTGGATTTTTATGTGAATTTTTAATGGATCTAAATAAACTAATGGATTATTTTTATTCTATCCAATATGATTCGTCTAAAAAAATTATTTGATCCATCCATTTGCCACCCCTAGTTACACTTATCTCATTTGTACATGTTTGTAGAATATGTTATTAAATAAAACATTCTTATGCCTTCATCCCTTCTACATCTTGGATGCATGCTTCCTGAAATAACTTAACCAAATATTAGTCACTCAAGTTTATTACTTTGTAAATATCAAAACTAAAGCGTCAAATGTTTATAAATGCCTTTTGTTGAACAATTCATGACATCAAATACTATTTTACATTGTTAGTTGCGTGATGAGTAACATGGCATTGATGCGATGTTGATAATGCATTGACATGTTTGTGTTTTATGTTTTAGACATTACTTATACTATTTTTTTAATTTTAGCTTTTATATTTTAATGATTTTTAACATTTTTGCCTTTACATGGGTATTTTATTTTATAATTTGTGCCCGAATCTCTTCTTTTCCTCCTTCTTTTTTGATGGACTTCTTCCTTCCATAGTGTGATCTATGACTTCCAAGGAGGAGCTCCCTCTTTCTTCACAGATTAGGATGAAGAATGATGGCTGGATGTTTCCTCAAGGGTGATGAAAAACAATATTGGGTGATAAGGAGGTGAAGGTGGGCGAATAAGGAAAAAAATAGGTGTAAGATGTTTTTGGTGCTCTTGGCTAGCTCTCTCCACCAAGGGTTGGTAGAGGCTAGACAAGGGAACCCAAGCTCACTCTAGGGTAGAGAGGAGAGAATATGGCCGTGAGGTCCTAGGAGACTAAGGAAGGTTTCTTGAGGCAAAAAAGCTCACTCAAAATGCATATATTCTAAAGTGGTCACAAGGAGGATTGTCTAGGGTATAAATAGAGGGAAGGAAGGCACTTAGAGTTTCTTGGATGACTTTGGCCAAAATTTTGAGACTCCAAGTACCCTACATGAAATCTAAATGCAGCTCAAATATAATGAGTTCTCAGCTCCCTAATGACAAATACCCTTTGATCCAAAAAGAAAGAAAAGTGGACTTTGACCTTACAAGTCAAGGTTTAAGTCCTAAATTAAATCCTAATACTAATTTTGTCTCATAATACAAAGGTTAAATAAAAATACAAAATAAAATCCTAATACCTAATGTACCCCAAAATATAAGGGAAAAACAGGAAAAGAAAGTAACACAAGGTGTCCTAAACTTGATAATTAATGTGTATTTACTAAATAATGT